AGGGCGTGACACGGGGTGTGATCCCATGACCCTGAGATCATGACCTGAGCCAAAACCAAGAGTCGGATACTTAACAGACTGCGCCACCCAGGTGCCCTGTGGTAGGGCTTCTTGAAGATGATAACATAGGATACTCGACTAGGGTGTAAGATAGAGGTGATTTTTCCTAAAATTGTTTATGTGAAATAATGTGACTATTAATAATTGAAGACTCACAAGACGTTGTAAAATACTACACAGGAGAGTCCCCATGTGCCCTCATCCCCAGAGATAATAACTTCCGTAATCAGAGGACACCCACACAACCAGGAACTGGCTTCTCTGTGATCCTGTTAACACCTGTGTGGACCTTATTTGGATTACACTGGAGGTCCTTTATGTATTATTATTATTATTATTATTATTATTATTATTATTTTTACAAATGTATGGAGGTGCTTTAAATGCTCTGTGTTGCATTCCCTTTGACATCTGCGATATTTAGGGCCAAAGGTGTTTATGCCAGGCGGGAACATAGGACCGAGATGCCACCCTGGGGTACGGCCTTCTCCTTACTCCTGCTTCTCAGTCTGTGTGGGTTTCTCTGACTGTGCCCACATTTCCAAAAGGACCTCCATTGGCTTAGGCAAGAGATACTCTGCTTGCTACTTCTATTACATGGATTTGTCCATTGGTGTACCCATGAATTCATTCATCCGCCAATTTATCCAACTAACACGTGCCCAGGAATTAATCACAAAGGTATGTAAAACATACTTGATCTACAGAACCTGCTGCCACAAGTTACAAACCAATCCCAGTGTGGACCAAAAAAAAAAAAAAAAAAAAATGGCAGTCTCTGATACTTTGGAAGTTGGTGTGTTGACTGGAGCACTTTTGTCAGCCCTAAACTTACAGAAACATTTTTCCCATGGTTCTCTAAGCAAGAGCACTTTGTGCACCCTGGGCATTTCTAGTTCTCCTTGGTCCTTCCAATGCCACCTGTAGTCTTTTGTGACTTAATTTGCCAGGTGGAGTTCCATTCCCTGCTATTACAGACATGGTGTAGGGAATCTGCCTCAGAATGTGGTCGACCTCATAGCATCTCTTTTCAGATGACATTTCTTCAACTGCATGTTTGCGGAAACTTCCTCATACATATTTTTTGCACATGTCAGACTTTGGGATAACGGTGATAAAGTGGGAGTGGAGGCCTCAGCGCTTCTCTGTGCGCCTATAGCAATAGATTTGTCCGGAGTCCCCATAGTCCCTTGGGGATCCTTTCCCCATCGGGGTATGTTCTGCCTTTCAGTCAATGGTTGATAGATGTCTGCATCCAGTACCCCAAAGAATAAGGAGTAGAATCAAATGCCAACTCCGTTTAATAGAGCTTACTTAAAAAAAATCTATCTCACCCTAAATTTTTTGGGGGGGCAGTTAATGTTCTTGATATAATACACATGCAACAAAATCCATGCATTTTAAGTGTTCCCACTGATGACTTGTTGACAAATGCAGCGTTCTGTAACCACCATCACATAGAACATTTATGAAGCTGACTTTCATTTTACGCTGATGGAAAATTCATTTATTACCTCAGCTGAGATGCCGTGTGATGGGCTTTGCATGTGTTATTTTATTTAAACCCTGTTGGTGTAAAGATTTCCTCTTTTCAGTTTTATTGAGATATTATTGACACCATTGTGTAAGTGTAAAGTGTACAGCATAAAGACTTGACAAATACTTAAATATTTTGAGATAATTACCACAATGTAGTTAACATCCATCTCCTTATATAGTTAAAAGAAAGGTTCTTTTTCTTGTTAGGACCTGTAGGCTACTCTTTGAGCATATAGCAGTGTTAACTGTGGTTGTCAGCTTGTATGGTAGTGCATCCAAAGGGCTTAGAACTATCTTACATCTGGAACTTTGTACCTTTTGACCCTCTTCATCCAGTTGCTCTACTCCTGTATTCCACCTCTGGTAACCACAAATCTGAACTCTTTTTCTATGAGTTGTTTTTTCCTTTTTAGATTCCACATATAAGTGAGATCATACTTTGCCTTTGTCTGACTTACTTTACTGAGCATAATGCCCTCAAGTTCCATCCATGTTATTGCAAATGGCAGGAACCTTTCCTTTTTTTTTTAATGGCTGAATACTATTCCATTGTGTGTCTTATTGGGCAGAAGTGGATCCTCTGATCATCCTTACCTGCAACAAAGCTAAAAATGGACTTTTCTGCTTTCTGAAGGGAGTTATTCAGAGCTGGGGGTGTACATTGGTGAGCCTCCCAACACCAAGCGGGGAAATCTCTGCCCATTTTCCTTCCACCGTCTCGATGCCTTATGACCAACACCATGAATGTTGTCTTGTGTTCTGTGCATTTAAGCTGGCTGAGCTGAAAATTGCAGCGTGCTGGTTTCGTCCACCTTGAACGAGACCGTGTGGTCCTGTCATCTGACTGTGGCGTCCAGGGACTCCCCGCATCCCCCAGGGTAGCTCAGGCTCCAGCTGCCGTGCATAAGTAACCCGTTTTGAGTTCTGCATGCTTAACAGCTGACGCTGCTCAGAGAGAGCTTGAAAGACATTGCTGAGAGAAACGTGGAAAAATCTGAGTCATGGTTGGTGCTGTCTTTCACGTAGGCACAGGGAACATCCAGTTGTAGGTCAAACACTAGGGCTGAAAAGACAAACTATGATGTAGTAAATGCAACCTGGTGATGAAGGGGCTCCTTGTGGGGGGCGGTGGAGAAAGATGATCAGGAGGAACGGTACCCGAGAGAGAAAGAAGGAGGAAGGCATATGGCCTTCCTTCTGTCTCGAGAATCTGACGACGTGGGCGCCTGGGTGGCTCAGTTGGTTAAGCGACTGCCTTCGGCTCAGGTCATGATCCTGGAGTCCCGGGCTCGAGTCCCACATCGGGCTCCCTGCTCGGCGGGGAGTCTGCTTCTCCCTCTGACCCTCTTCCCTCTCGTGCTGTCTCTCATTCTCTCTCTCTCAAATAAATAAATAAAATCTTAAAAAAAAAAAAAAGAATCTGACGACGTGGCAGGACTTATATGTTGCACTTCATTCTGTCCTCTCAGAGAGAGGACTCATGTGTTTGCCCCAGTTCACAGATCAAATAAAAAGCAAAACCTTTCACCAGATGCTGGTGTCCCCGTTGTGTTCGCCTGACCCTATGGAAACATCAGTGTCTGCATAAAGACACCTAAACTTTGCCAGTTCACCCTCCTTACAGCCTTTCCCCCCTCCATGCCTCCTGGTTGGGATTTGATGCCATAGCATCTCGCCAACACGCGACTGCCTTACCCCGTTACAATTCTGTGTTTGCTTCCCTGTGACCTTCCGATGAGAATATCCCTCATCGTTTGCTTCTTCTTACACAACACTTGCTTTTCTGGGTTTTGGCCGCTCCCTCTCTGCTCCTCTTAGGGTAAAATATTCATGATCGGAAACTCCACTTAAAAGCCAAGGTTACTCATCGTTGCCCCGCCCCTACCACTGCCCGAGGAGGTGAGATTTATTTCACAGCTCAGCAATTCTCATTTATGGAAAACACTAAAACAAAATGGTTTTGCTCGAGTGCGACTCTGTGCTCCTCTTTCTCATGTTACCGAGCGTAGGTCCAAACCCTGCACAAGAAGAAAGGACACCCGTGGCTGTGTGGTTGTGTTGGAAGGGAGGAGAGCGTCCTTTGTCTTCTCCAGCTCTCCCTGATTCCTTTCTCCCTCTTGTTAAAGTTAATTCCCATTTTTCCAACCAGAGAGCCCTAACTGTTCACCGTTTTCCATGCTTTCTTGCCCAGGAAACCCCTTCACGTGCATCACTGGTTAGACACACAGTGATGGAAAACACAGCCGCCGTTTATAAGCCCACTGGGCGCCAGGTACCCCGAGGCTTGCACGTACAGATTTCCATTTTTCTGCCCCCCTACTTTACCTCTTCTCTAGCCACAGATAAAATTCCTTTGGATCTTTGATCTCACATTTGCATTAAGTGGTTGCCAGCCTGTGTGAGGGGTGGAAGGTGGACACCATGCCCCACGCGGAGGCTCAGAACAATAGGACCGCCCGGTGGCGGAGGGAGAGGATGCATTTGGGTTGGAAATGTGCCACCAGGGTACAAACAAGGGTTGGATTTCCTTGCATATGTATAGTGGTTGCAGTTTTTTTTTTTTAATTTTTAAATTTTTTTCCAGGCTCTTTTTGTTTTATTGATTTTTCCATCACCGAAATTTCTAGTGGAAACGAAACAGGTGGTTCCACATTGTCCTCTGAGTTACTACAGTTCATTGATTCCAGGACAAGGGCCTTTCTCCATTCTAACATCTCTCCATTTGGAATGCATATTACAATAAATGTCATGGCACAGTAAATTGGTAACATTTATTTTCCTTCTCAGTGGTGCATAAAGTAATGGTATGTCTTAAAACTGTTGGCATCTTAGAACTGATAAAATTTGAGAAACTGGTAGTGGTTGCAATTTTTAAACTTCACCCCAGTCTCAGCCCTCTGTCCCTTTATATCCTACCCGAATAGGTGTCTATTCCCATATCATATTGGGATATATCCCATTTTCCAATCCTTAGCAAATTTTAAAATACAGACCCAAGTGCTTTGAGCAGGCATTAGCACGTTAAAGAGTCTTTTTCATGAGCATCTCGTGCCTGATAACCTTCGTCTTTACCTAGAAACCCCAAAGAGAAAAGCCACATTGAAGAAATGTCTACCATACTTTCCCATTCTAGCTGTCCTCGTATGCATGCGTGCGTATGCGTGTGGTCTCTACGATGCCTCATGTGTACAAATGATGGCCAGCCCTCCCTCCAGTTAAACATTTCAGAGGCAGGTGATTGTCTTTGTTGACGTGTGCATTATATGTGCCCTCACCTGAAACTTCCAGAACAGAGCTTCTCGCAAATACTGTCCCCGGCCATACACCAGGGCTGGGAGCTGCTGAAGCTGACAGTTTCTCTTAAGGTCCTGATACAGCCTCATGTGCTGTCTCCCCTCTAGGCACCGGGACGTTCGGACGGGTGCAGCTGGTCAAGGACAAGACGGCCAAGCATTTCTTTGCCCTGAAGGTGATGAGCATCCCCGATGTCATCCGCCTAAAGCAGGAACAGCATGTACACAATGAGAAGTCGGTGCTGAAGGAAGTCAGCCACCCATTCCTGGTCAAGCTGTGAGTCCCTCCCCACTGTCTCCTCCTGGTCCTCATCCTCTCTTGAGATCCCAGGCGGGGTGGAGTGAGCTCACTGCTGACCCTCAGGCTGGCTGGGTCCAGGGAGAAAGGTGCTGTTGGGACCAGCGCCTCCCCCTGGGCCTTGCTTCCCTCCTGGCTGAGCAGAACGTACGTAAGGACGTGGGTGGTCCCACCAGACACTCTGTTCTTCCCCTCGTCCCCTTCAGGGTCACCATCACCAGCTCCTGTTTAGTCATCAGCTCAGCCTCGTTCACGCAGGCCACTCCTTGGGTTTCTCGCGCATGACTGTGTATCTCCATTTAGATGCACCACAGATGTGTCTGGTTGAGGGTGCCCCGCACTGAACAAATACATCCCTGTCCTCCCACACTATTTGCTGGTAGAGGGAAGACCATTCTGCTCCCAGGTGCCAGAGACAGGATGCCCAGATATGGCTCTCTTTCCCTGTCCACGGTGTGGGTGCCTTCCAACCAGGGTCCATGTCTCCCCTCCGCCATCTTCTTCTCGTTCTTTCTCATTCCCACCCCACAGCTCATGGCCTGATCTGGGGCCCCCTCTCTCTGCCCTCATGTTTGACCCTGGCCTCCCACCTGGTGTTTCCTTCCCAGCCTTGCTTCCTCCCGAGGCATTCTTCACCTTCCAGTGGTGGTGGTCCTCCCCAAATGCCTGTCTGGTGACCTTCATTTGTACCTACAGATCCGCAGGGAATTGTGAGGTACCCAGAACCCAGCCCCAGCCACGTAGGGATCGTTGTGAACGGACCCCTGGGTTTACCTTCTGTTCGCTCTCTCTTTCCCTACACCCTGACGCCCGTTGTCCCACATCAGGGAAAGCCGCCTGTGGTAGGAGGGGGCAGGTGCTGCCTCATGATCCCCTGCCTCTCGTGGGCCACCCCTCCCCTGCAATGCCTCCTTCCTCTGTGTCTCTGCACCAGCCATCCCTCCCACCAGACCAGCTCCAGCCCTTCTTCTCTGATACACCTGTCCACACGCAGAGACGGGAGCCCTTTGTCACAGCTCTGGAACATCTGCCGTGCACACGGACTCTGTGAAGGACGCCTCTAAATGCAAAGCTGCCAGAGGAGCCCTCCCATCCTCCAAGCCCGAAAAGGGCGTCTTACCCAGAGTCCCTACTCTGTTGCATGTTTAACGAGGAGGGGAAAGGAATAGGCTGCATTTTTTGTGGTTTTCCTTTCCTCTTATGGAGCTGCAGGTGATCTTGTGCCGATAAGGAGGGGTCAGGTGCATCTCAGGGTTTCAAGTCATGGAAACAAAAGTAGCTGGTGATTTGGGACTCCACGCTGCTCGCTCACCACATGTGATTCTCCCATTTGGTCCACGGTGGAACAACACTTATAAAAATGAGTGCGTTAGATCTTCCTCTGGAATTCAGGAAAGCTTCTAGTTATATCTCTTGGAGGAACTAAAATAGTGATTCTGGGGAGGATCTTTAGCTCTCTAGGGTTTTAAATAAATATTGTCTACGGGAGACCTGGACTCCTTTATGATATTGCCAAATTGTGGTGACATGTCTCTGGCTTCCTTCCAAAGGCAGGCAGTCTCAGGCCAACGATTTTGTGGTTGAGAAGACAGAGCCGACCATGTGTCGACGCATGATGGGCTTTGTGATTCAAAAATTGGAGGGCAGGTCACAGTCGAATGTAGTCTTTTTTACATGTCAGGTTCAACGAAGGGTGTGGATGAGAAGAAGTAGGAATGTTTCCTCATCATTAAATCTACACGGAATTTGAGGAACAATTTGATAGCCTTCTCAAAGGGGGGATTATACTCACAGGTTTTGAGAAAACGTAGCAGGACCTCATTTAAAAATCTGTACTAATTTTGAGCAATTTTTGGTTTTTCCCCCACAGTACTGAGCGCACAAAACGAGGCACGTTGTTGTGTCTGTTCTTCTGAAATGCTCAGGATCTAGGGAAATTATTATCAACAACAGATCCTCTGAAGACTATAAATTTCCAGGTGACCTTTGTCCAAAAATTATGGGAAATAAGTTTTTCCACTGGGGATGCCATAACCCAATACCATGGAGTAGGGGACTTCAACAACACACATTTATTTCCCATAGTCCTGGAGGCTGGGAGTGTGAGATCCAGGTGGGGCTGAGGCCGGCAGTATGAGATCCAGGCGGGGCCGAGGCTGGTTCCTCCTGAGGCCTCTCTCCTTGGCATGTAGACCCCGTGTTCTCCCTGTGTTCTCATATGGTCGTCCCTCTGTGCGTATCTGTGTCCTCAACCCCTCTTCTTCTTCTTTTTCTTTTTCTTCTTTTTTTTAAGATTTTATTTATTTCTTTGGAGAGAGAGAGACAGAGATAGCACAAGCAGGGGGAGAGGCAGAGAGTCCTATGGGATCAGGGTGTACTCTACTGACCACATTATACCTTACTCCCCTCGTTAAAGACCCCATCTCCAAACACAGTCCCCATTCTGAGGTCCTGGGGTTAGGGCTTCAACATGTGAATTTTGGGGGGATATTCAGCTGTAACAGCTACTTAGTGACTTGCCCAGAGTAGATCTCTCAGAGCACATGGATCTTACTGTAATATATTTCTAGCACTTGGTTTTTTCTGTGCATTCTCACTTCAGGTGTGTCTAACACTGGGTATAAGTTGAGCTAGTGAAATCAGCCTCTGGAAGTTCTCCGAACATCGCACGGAGAGCACACTGTATCCGGATGGGAGCCACAGGGTGTCCAGGGCCACATGATGAAGGGCACGCATTAATGGGAAAGACCATCAGTGAAGAATGTATTTAATCCCCCAGCTGTGCAGTTTGTCTTGTGAATGGAGGTCGCTTCACCCAACATCTGCTTCCCATACTGTGTGGAAACAGGGAGCTTCCCATACTATTTGGAAACATGGCCCAGGTTTTGCTTGTGTTTCTTGAGGCCACGTGGAACGCTGATGGTTCCAGGTGTCAAGCCGAACCACCATTACTTGGAGTTTGAAGTTGGAGTTGAGTGACTTGGCAAGTCCGCCGGTGCCATTACCCGAGTTCAACATGTGAACTGCTCCTGTTGTATTTTTGTGAAGATGCCAGGGCATTCATTAAATGTGCATTTGAGTGCACGTTCTGTTCGGGGATAAAGCCGTTCCGAAGGCCAGCTCACCCCGTGGAGATAATTTTAGAAGAGTTGGGTGGCTTACTATCTGGGGTGCAAAATCAGGATTTCTGTGGGGCAAAGGCTTGGGGTCTGTCCAAACCCCAGCTTCCCACGTCTGTTCATTGCCCTTTGGGCATATAGAAATTGCTGGTGTCCTAGAGTTGTTTGACCCCAGAACAGGGGTTCTCCACCTTGGCACTATTGACCTCGGGGAACCAGCTCATTCTCTGTGGTGGGGTTGCTCTGTGTAATGTAAGAAAGTTAACAGCATCACCGTGCTCCCCCTGATCGGGGCCAGTAGCACACTATCCCCAGTGCTGACAACCAAAAATGTCCCTAGACATTGACAAAAAAACCTCCTAGGGGGTGAAATACTCCGTAGTTGCAGACCACTGCTAAAGAGCAATAGACAGATGATAGATAGTAATACATTGATAGATTTGATGGAAGGATGGAGAGGTACATGTATAGTGGATTTGATGGTGGGATGGATGGATGGAAGGAACAAAGGAAGGAGGGCAGAGAAGGTAGATCCATAGAACAGATAGATGACACATAGATAAATGATGTGTAGATATCTGATACAGATGATATAGACCCGATAGATAATAGATACACAGATGGTAGATATGATAGATGTATGGATGGATAGATAAATACGGATGGATGGATGATGGATAGACGGACTGGATGGATGGATGGATGGATAAGTAGATAGATAATAGATGGGTAGGTAGATAACAAACATACATACATAAACAGATAGATAGATATATAGAGAGAATCTCCTATGCTAAGGCAAGTCTTGCCCACTTCAGCACTGTTAACATCTGAGGCTGGAAGACTCTGATACGGGGCATCCTGGGCACTGTAAGGTGCTGAGCAGCATCTCTGGTCTCCACCCATCACGTGCCAGTAGTGCTCATTATGACAACCAAAAATATCTCCACATTGCTGAGTGTCTCCCGGGGGTTACCATCACCCTGTTGAGAACCGCTGCCCTTGGGAGATTGACTGCCACGAGCCCAGTTCACCACGAGGTGATGGGTAAACCAGAAGTCTGGTTGGTCAGCATCCAGGAAGACAGAATTCTGGGGAGGGTTGATTTCCCTGCAGCATAAGTGGCATCAGCAGATGTAATGGGAGCTGCAGCTTGTACGGGGCAGCCAGCCTGGTGAGACGCAGCTCAAGGACATTAGCTTCATGCTGACCAGCTCCGTGCCACCATCTCTGCTTGGGGAGACACCTCGTGAGGGCCAGACAGTGCGGCCAGGCTCACCTGGTCCTGCATGTGCAGGGAGCATGAGTTGTCCACTCCTGTGCTGACTCTCCCAGGCCCCCCACACATCCTTCTCCTCCACCCTGGCTCAGGGTGTACTCCGTTGGGGTCGTGAAAATGGCTTCCCACATGGTGTCTAGAAGTGCCCTTCCTGCAGTGCCGTGACACTCCTCTAAAATTAAGACATGATCGTGTGTCTCAGCCCAGAACTCTTCTGGGACTCTCGATGGCCAACCGAGGCAGGTCAGGGACTGTAGGACCCTTGTCCCCTGCCTGTTGCCAGCTTCGGCGTGAGCAACTGTTGCAGCTCCCTGCTCGCCATGTTCCCAGGGTGCGCTCACCACCCTCACTGTCCTTCCTGCCGCTGTCCCCTGGCCAGTGCCAGTGCTTGCTTCCAGAGTTCTCAAGTCTCCGGAGCAGAGCAGCCTCATCAGACCTTCCTCCTTGCTCACGTGCTAGCTCCACCAAGAAGCTTCCAGCCCCAACTGGCCTGGGTGGACCCCCAGTGGGGGCCTTTCGTATCCCTACTGTGTACCACCTGCAACAATATGCCCCGGTGCCTGTATTTCAAAGAGAATTCT